CCACTACTTTTAGAAAAAAAAATCTTGAATGTTTTTTACCTCATTAAAATTAATATTTTTATCGTTTAAAAAGAAAACAAAATTCAAAAATAGCATTTCAGTGTCAAAGACTTTACTACCTTATTTTCATAATACTGATCTTTCATCCAAGTATGACAAGAACCACCCATATTGAGTAATGGTAGCTAAGGCAAAAAAATACTAGCCATTAAAAAGAGAAGTAATCTTCTGCTACATGACAAAATACATATCTAGACTTCAATTTCATCATAATGATGTAAAGGATCTCATACATATGCCAAAAACCCATCACTGGAAAGATTTTCCTTCCAGTTAAATCATTCCATTGCATAAGAAATTTGATCTAGAAAGGAAAATTTTTATTCACAATAGCAGAACTGAACACAGAATATTAATTAACTCATAATGCACAATAATCTGTAGACAAACAGGAAACTAGAGGCAGTAATAGCAACATTCACCTCTGATACCAGGCAGTCAGAGTGTTATCAGGCAATCTGGGTGTGAAAAAAGCAAATACAATAATACTGCCTGAATATAATGATCAGCTCATAATTGTTTTATGTAATGAAATCTCTTTTAATACTTTTTTCCACATTTTCCCTTTTACCACATTTGCGGGTTTTTTTTTAAAGAAAAAAATAAAAAAGTAAAAGAATCCCAAACCTTTCTTTCTTTTGTCTATTCAGCATCCTTGGAAAAAACCACCAGATGGCAATGCAGTGTTCAAGTATTTTATTTAACATATATATTATAGGGAAAAAAGTCTATATGTATCAGTATGAGGCTCTCTTTCCTAACCTACTTCCTCTTTGATGAATATTAAATAATTCATAAGCCAAAACTCTGTTCAGCACAAGTAAGTGATCAAATACCATTCAACCTGTAAAGAACAGACTTTTAGAAATCTAAGTTTCTATGAATATAAAAACCACATGACTAAAAAAAAAAAAATTGACAATTTAGTTCAAACTATGAAATGGGATAATTTAAGAAAAAGTCACTGAAAGGAAAACATTCAGAAATGCTTCACCATAAAGGTCTCAAAATACTATCAAGGACTGATGAACTGCACGAAAAGGAAATTGTGCACTTTTTAGGCATATCACAAATATGTATGTGATGGTTTCATGCTAAAAAACAGGCATTATCTTCTACATTTTTGAAGTTTAATTCAATTCATGTAAAACTATGTGCTGAAAGAATCAAAATATGTGGGCTTTAAGTGTTTATTCTTCCTTTGCATCAAGCAGATCACTGTGATCGAACAGGAACTGTTTCATGAAGGAAGATGCTTTAAGATATTTAAATGAGCTGAGAAGTAGGGCAAGAGTCAGGCTCCCATTTAACAAATCTTATCTGAGATCTAATACTTGAGAAAAGAAAGTTCCTCTTTGCAGTTACTGTTGCAGGCTCTGAAGCCTCTACAGCTCTGGGAGATTTCACTGAATACCTGAAACACACAATTTTTAAACATGATATCCACTGTGAAGTTAGTGGTTGGAACAGGGAAGCTTACAGCAAACAATCCTTTCTTTCTGGAGAAGACATTACAACCTGTAGGTGTTGTATGGCCAACTCTAATTGACCGGACAAGTTAAGGCATACTTCTAAGTCTTTTGCATACATGGGTTAGGAAGAATCATCTGTATTTAGTAATTAGCATTTAGTAATGGAATTTTTACTAGAACTGCTCTCCCATCCATTCTCATGTAACAAGCACAGTCATCACATGCTCTCAATGCACAAGAAATCCAACATAAAGAGTAACTTGAAACTGTTCAGAACTTATTTAAAATATTAACTAGGAAAAAAAGGCAACTTCTGTCAGGTAGAGACAATCATACAAGATGAAGTGTTAAACAGGTAAGTTGAAAAGCTGTGAGAAAACTAAAGTATGTTTTCTGGCTAATGTAATAAATATTTGATTAACACTATTCCCTTTATTCCCTATGTTATTATATTTATTTGATTGACAGCAGACAGTGGTAGAAAGATTCAAAGACTACTTTTAACCAATTTAAGCGCTTTGTATAAGGACTGCTCCCATGATCAGAGATCAAATCCAATGCAGCACAACCTAAGATTTCTTCTATTGTAAAGTTCTATTTTCTTTTTTTCAAACAAAACCAAGAATATTATATTGATTCTAATTGTTTTCATATATAGCTAATTATTTGATAGAACTTCAGTCCTGAAAGCCAATAGATAGTCAGAATTGCTATGGATTTTTAGAAAATTACTTTCTGAAGGTAGGTTTCCATGTTCTTGAAAAATCAGAGAAGTCACTGGAAATGTATCTCTACCAGATTGACAAACTCATTCCTTTATTAATCGCTATCATTTTCTCAGAGCTGATAAATAAACATAGAAAAGAGGTGAAGTACTCTGACAGTATTTAAAAGGCATATTTTCAAGAACAGATCTCTTTTAAATACTGAATATAAGAAATAAACATAACCTGCTTAATGATATATTTTTAATAAATATATTAAAATATATAATATGTATGAAAATATATAAATTGAATAAATAAAGAAAGAAAGAAATAAAGAACACAAGATCTGAGGTTTTAGATTTGGTCATCAGAAACAGCCTCAACAAAAGTGAATTAGAAGGAATAAATCCCAATTAAAACAACTATTTAGCATATTAATGTAAATTTCTTGAACTTTATTACATTCCTGTAATTTATAACAGAGAAGGAGATAAAGAAAAGCAAGGTGTCTTGAAAAGGTGGATACTGCAACTCCGTATTTATAATGGCTTGTAAGTATAAAAATATTACTTTTTAATTTTTTTATTTGCTTTCACGGTGACATGTCAAGGACAAAATGCACCCACAAGTGGAACTGACCAAAGAGATTTGAACTATGCTCTGCCTCTGGGTAACATATTCTCATAAAACAAGTTCCTCTTTCCAAGCTGGTTTTTTTTTTCCTGCTTCCAATTATGAGTTGCACTAACATTAGGAAACCATTTCTATTTTCACAGTACACATAAGTCAATCCTATTTTGTTAAAACTTCCCTTAAATAAGGTTTTCTTTGTAGAAACACTTCAGGATTGTAAAAATAGCTCTACTGAGCACCCAAGGGAGGTAAAAAAACTAAACCAAGCCAAACCAAATCAAACCAAACAACGACAAAAGCAAACCAAGAACCATCACACACTACTGCATTCCACCTAGCAGTGAAGTTCTTCAAACCTAAAATCACAAAGCAACATGGCCAAAGGCAGCAGGATCTGAGATTTCAGTAAATCAGAGATGGTTTCCTTTGCACACACAGTATGACAAACTGTCCCCTTGCTGATAGATCTAATTGAAGCTTTACACAGGAGAAACTTGCAAAAACATCAAGACCCCATGTTACAGTGAGGTATGATCCAAAGATTCCCATGAAAGTTTTTTCCTTTTTATTACAGCATCATGATGAGAAAAAATTCCCTGTATCTTGAGAAGTTTTGTATGTTTTTTTTTTTCCTTTGCTGGAGAGCATTTATATCACTTTCCCAAACATAAATTAAATTGTATATTTACCATTTTTTCCTTGCTTTGATTAATCAGATGAAGGGGATACAAGCAAAAAATTTTGAAATAAAATGCAAAGACAACCCAAGTTATCATTGTCAATTTCATGTAACAGGTGATAGTTGTACTTTTTTTTAATTCCTTAAAAATAGATGTAATTTTAAAATTTACTTTAAGATAATCAATAATGTTTTTACTAAATTTGGATTAAGGGGCCTTGACTTAATGCTTACTCAAACAGTAATTTAATAAAAATCTTAATCAAACAGGGCAATCTTAGCCAGACACATTCAAAGGATCTCTACATTATCTATCTAGGCTGCAGCATCCTATAAACACGTCAACCTATCACCAGATCCTTTGCTCTGCACACACAGTCTGTGCATTTCAGTGTTCCTGAGTTTAAATAACCCCAAATATACTTTAACTTCTAGTTTTCAGTAAGGAATACCTTACTTTGTAGTAGTACTCCATGTTTGCCTTCCCTACATCAACATTTCCAGCTACCATAATATTGGAGACATAATCCATTTCATTCTGTTGTTACAAATATAATCCATTGAAAATGCAAGGTATAATTCAAGATGTTGACAAAAATGTATAAAGAGCTATGTTCTCCCCAAGCACCAGTTTACAACTGCTACCAACCAAAAGACAAAAATAAATCACAGACAGACTTCTGGAACAGCACAACAAAAGCTACCTAAAGCACTCCAGTGCCAAAAGGAAACTCACAGCTAAAAACAAACCTAATTAACTAACCCAGCCAACATGGGATTAAGACTTTCATTAATCCACCAACATGGAATTAAGGCTTTCATTAAGGATTTAGTTTTCTTTAGTGCAATATAGCAAGATAGGTTGCAGAAGTAGTTTCCTATTTTTTTTCATTATCCAGTGAAAAGCCAAAAAGAGTAAAATTAGAATTTCAGGGTGAAAGAGAAAAATTAATCCAAAATTGCCCAGCTGTCTGAATACCGACTATTTTTCTTTCATGAATTAAACTCTTCAACCACGTATTAGGTATCCCTTTCAGAAACACATTTTGCTGTTCACTTTTCATGGTAATTAAATTTAAATGTGTTTGATCTATTTATTGTTACTTAAACCCAAACTCCATTATCTTAATTTCCCAAAGTATATAGTAAAACAGATAAATCCAGTAACCCAACAAGACTGACTGTAACATAGTCTTTTAAAAAAGTCAAAAAGTTCTGGGAATAACTGTCCTGCAGCAGGTGAAAGGTGATATTCATTTCATATTACATATCTGATTTTTCTTCATCAAGTCCACATAAGACAACAGTTTAAAAATATATAGAAGCTGCCAACTCTTCTTGCTGCAGAATTTGAAACTGTATTCCAAACCACCATAACAACATCCTGGCATATACTTGCAAACATTAAGCATTTCTTTCCAAGCCACACAGAGATAAAGATTTACTTACCTGATCCCCTTTTGGTTACAACCTTCAAGCTCTGAGTCAGAGTAGCATACAAGAGAATCAAGTTGGGAATAGGAGCTTTCATCTTCTGTCTTTCCGTGGCTGCTTCCTGGAGTACCAAGGAAATAGAAAGAAACACTGGTTGTACATTGGTGCTGAAACAATCTTGAAGTAAAGAAACATCATACTGACATTATGGAAAGCTAAATACAGTTTTTGTGAGCAATTTAAAGCACTAGAAATGTTTTATTCTTTCTTTTTAAAAGTATGAAACTAAAATAACCATAAAACAAACACATGCACACACTACATTTAACCCTGGAGTTTAAGATACAACTTTTGTCTACACATGGAAAATTCATTGGATTCCTGCTAAAACTTTATCACAGATCTCCTGAAACATCTATTTATTTCTTTTAATCATATAACCTTTTCCACCCACCAACACGAAAAAGAAAATAATACCCTTCCTCATTAGCTTTACTCTCATTTATTAATACAACAAATTGAGCAGAAGATTCACAATAAAATGAGCGTTTGATATAAAAAAAATCTGACCATCTTCTTAGGAACAGAGAAAGGGGGAAAATAAGAGCACATCAAAGTAACCAGCAGAGACACTAATAACACTAATAATCACCTTTTAGGTGAGCAAGTTCCCATGCAAGTTCAAACTATTCACTGCACTAAATCAGAAGTGAATGTTAATTAGAATGGAGATAAGCAGTGTTAAGAGCAATGTGTTTTAGCCTTCACCTCCAACATGTGAACAAAAGATTAGGATTTCTATTTACTTTGGGTATTAAGTGGTATGAGCTGCTGGTGAAAGCAGGGACTGAACATTTTTTTAATTCCTCATGTAAGTAAGAGCGTCAGCTACTCATGGTGATCATCAACTTTCTTCAGGATAGACTGATAGGTCCAATACCTCATATTTCAGTGTGTTGTTAGAGGAAAGGAGGACAAATCTGCCTATTCAAGCTAGACAGCAGCCTATCAATGCTATCTATATTCATCAGAGTAGCTTACACAAAAATATTCTAGTCTAATGGGGATGAGAAAGGGCTGGGATCAATGGTTCTTTAGTATTGTAACTAAGACCCAGACTAAACCACTGTGGTTTTGATATTCACCTCTTTTAATCACAGCACTGGACAGCAACTCAAAAGATTCTCAGAAGGTACCACATAGTACAAGTTTTGATTTCTAAAGAGACCCTGAATCTTTTGCACTTTCATTGATAATCAGGTTACTGAGTACCCAAGACATTTTTTGAAAGCAGTATCTTAAAATAACTTCATCTTAGAAAAGAACAGGTTAGAAATAAGAATGAACAGAGGTACAAAAAAGGGTATTATGGGAATAATTGCTAAAAAAATGATGGCTTCATAGGTAATCTGTATTAAAGCTTTACGTTTCATGACATTTCTGAACTAAGCAACAAATCTACTACATTCATTACAAAGTATTTAATAAAGATGAGGAAGTGAGATAATACCATTTGATAACAGTTTGTGATATCTTATTTTTTACAACAATATTTGTACTCACAGAGAAATAGACAAGTGTTTGCTCATTCATGTTCTTTGACAAGCTTCAGGATTCTAGCACCACAGTGTAAGACTGACACTTGACTACGTTCACATGCTACTTCAGAAAATGTAGGCAGCTTAAAGAATTAAGAAATTAAATATGAAATATGGCATTGCTAGGAGGTTAATTATGTGCAATGCTAACATTTTTATTTAAGTTTAAAATTTAACAAAGTAGCATGACCACTGGCAGTTATAGATTATATAGATCTTTAGAAATTTAGAAGCTAGCAATAAAGGTTAATTTTCCAGGGGCACAGTGAGTAGACACCACAATGTGTTATGCCACATTTTACTGCAGATTTCAGTCAAGCTTTCTAAAATCAAAATCTCATTTCTCAGTCACTGCACTAACTGATGCCGCAGGAAATCCTGAAGCTGATATCTTCAGCCTTCAGGGTACTAGCAAAAGTCAGCTCCTTGCTCTGTGTGAGCCTAATAAATATTGTCCAAAGAACCACAGGATCTTATTATGCAATGACAAATCCAGTAAATAGGTTCTGACTGTGAAAGCATATCCAAACATATCCCTTTTGACCATACATCAAAAGATAATATTGCTGATCACTGTGAATAAATGCAAATATATACATATATTTGCATATGTATCTGTGTGCATGTATTTATTTTTATTTATAGATATTTGTGTAGGGGAACCATGGAGTAGCTACAAAGATTGATTCTATCAAAGCAAGCCTCAGTAAATATAATAATATCAGTAAGAAACTGTTCAGAAAATGCAAATCTTCTTTTGGTCTATGCATATATCACTAATTTAAGTTGTCAAGTCAACAAGGGGAACCATTATTCTAATAGTATAGCAGGAACTGCATCTTAAACATATCACTGTGGAAGACATTCTCATGTGCATTTATTCTCAGAGATTCATGTCTAACTTAAAGGCATAAGCTAAACTGGCTGCTGCCTACATGACTTGCGATAAACCCCTAGAAAGTCAAGTCTGCTGCTGTCTTTAGAAATACCAGAAAGAACTTACTGCTAAAGGGAGTAAAGAAGGGGGGATGATCCCAACAGCAGCCACAGCCTCCTTACAGCAATATAAGGAACAAATCAGATCTTACATTGCCTCTCCCCAGAGTCTTCCAACCTTTCTCTGCTGTTTACGCTCCCTTTTGTGCAGAAGGAAAAGTATTTCTGGTCTTCTTTACACTTTAAAAACCAAAAACTCAACCAAAGAAAATGCAAAGAAGTAAAGATCGGTTTATTGGAGCTGGTGCCTCACGGCTCTGGCCGTTGTCTGGGCGGCTGGAAAATCTGCCTCAGGTTATTCATAGGAGTGACTCAAAACAGATATTTAACATCTCTTGTCCCTTGTTCCGGGTGAATGCCTCGGAAATTGACTATTCTAGAAAATGTCACCCTTGTGAAATTGGTTGTGAAAACAAAATAAGCAAGTCAGAAGAAAATATAAAAGGAACATCCCGAGGGGAATCTCACAACAAGTCAACAAAGCCAAGAGAAAATGCCTTTACTGCCGCAATGAGTACGCCCGAGGCCTAGACACTGTAACATATTCAGGTAGCTTTTAAACTAGAAAACAAAATAAAAGGCATAATTCTGAGAAGTCAAATTCTTAACACTAACTCAAGTGTGATATTTCATGAATTGGAAATAGCCTTCTTTCAGCAATGAATTTTTAAGGAAGAGACTATTTTACTAGTTTCTTAACTGGAATTTATTTATTTTTTTTAAATAACATTAAGAAATTCTGATTTTAACAAGCAGGACAAGTCCGCTGTTTCTTTAAGCAACAGTTAGATAGACAGCTTACATCTACATCTACATCTACAAAAGTAACTTTCATGATGGGTTTTTTTTTCTGATTTTCAGTTACTTCAACTAAAAAGCCCAGACAATATATGGTAGTTGTAAACTTAATTGCTGTTTTTTAAGTTGAATATATTTTAACATGTTTTATATACCCTTTGGGTTTAAGACTGCTATACTCCAAGAGTGAATAGTAGACTAAGAAAGTCTTTTAGAACCACGGATTTTTGTCTGCTTTTTCTTTATACAATACCAAAGATTAAATGTTTTTTCATCTTTAAGCAGTATTCACAACTTCAAATTTTCAGTAGTGGGTTGTTTGTTTGCATGAACCAAAGCACTGAAAAATGTTAAATATTTCTGCATAAATATACTGCACGCAAATTTTAACTGGGCATATTAATAACTTTTAAAAAAATTCTTTACTGTACAAGGTGTCACTGCTTGACACAAAAATGCCATAGCATAGCATTTGCATCAGAAAGTATCTCATTTTCCAGCTGAGACAGAAATAGAAATACAGCTGTATATCAAGACTAACATTCTCTGGGGAAATGCCAAGAATGCTTTTTCTCTTCAATTGTCATAGATACTCACTGTGAGGAAAATGCATACACGTAGACACATGTTTCCCAAAACAGCTCAGCAGACATTAAATTAACTATAGTAAGTCAGTTCCTGATAAGGCAGGAAAATAGAAATTTTTTATTTCTTTATTGTACTTATGTTTATTATGGGCCTTTCCCAATACTTGAATCAAATTTCAAAAGAAATTTTCCATGGGCTCAGTCCCTTAAAATAACTTTAAGGGGTTAATTCTCAGCCTATAAATTCTAGCTGATGTCTGTTGACTAATTATTTGAAAATCACTTTTCTTCCCATACTGCCGTTCTAACTTTGAAGAACTTTTTATGCATGTTAAAAACTGCTGCATTATCTTTCTCCATCATATGTCCTTCAAAGAAAAAGAAAAAAAGCAAAAGAGTGTTGCAACATCCTCTGAAATCTGCAAGATATTTCATGACTGTTCTGCAGTAATGACACAAAAGTGATGGTAAATTATGAATGAGTAACAAAATTAAAAACAACCACCTGAATACATAAGAAAAAAAAACCAAGCAAAAATGCATTTTCAGTCTCTTTTTATGTGGCAGTTCTCTACAAATCCCTGAATAGAATGACATTAGATACCGCAAGGTAAAAAGGACAGCTTGGTATGTCCAGGATACAATTCAAACATCTTGAACAAAACAAAAAAAACAAAACAAAACAAAACAAAAAAAAAAAGAAAAAGCCTTAAATTCCTAAAATGCAAGGAAAAACTAAAATTAGAACCAATGTGATTTCATAAATGTGTCAATTCATTGTCACAAGTTGACCTAGAACAGTAAGACAACCCTAGCAATTTTTAAAATGGTAGCTAAAAGAAAATAGAGCTGTTTCAAATACAAAAGTCCATAAAATTAGTCCTTTCCAGAGTCCCAGTAAACAAAAAGATAAGCAATCAACTTTGAAGAACTCACGAGAAACCAGTCTAAAGCAACAGGAAGCCAATAAGCTACTGCATTTGCTTTCCAAATCATCCCTGTTCTGCCATGCTAAGCAGCATTCCTAAATTCAAGCAAGTTGTGGCTCATGACAAAAAGGAAAAAAAGAAGGAGAGGAGATGATTAAACAAGCAGTAAGGGCTGAAGGAATGGTGCCT